TTGTAAAATACTAAAATCACAAAGGACTGTACATTATGAATGCTGTTGACACTTTATAAGATTATATGAATTCATGTCACTGTTACAAGGTATAATTGAATGCAAAAAAGACCAAAACCTCAATAAAATTTGAGGTAAGCATAAGTGTTATTATGTAATTGAAATAAAAACATTTTATAATTTCACAAGCCTGTGATTCCACTCTTTGGGCTACTTGACTTCTGGCTGTGGCTACTGTTCTACATAATTATTATCTTCAAAGTAGCGCCTACTTCCAGGCTGCTAATTCCCAATCTGTGTTGTGTGAAAGACTCATTACTTTGTCAGTAATGAATGAACGTCTCTCCTGGTACCTAGACCGGGGCTAGTGTTGTGCCCTCCTGGGGAGAACTGGGAAGATCTTCCCTCATAGAATATCCTGTGGTCTGTGGTTCCGGTGAGGAGCCCCAGCGAAGAAGGCTCTCCATTCTGGTGCTCTGCTCACGTGTGCCAATTCTAAGAATGCTGTGAAGGATATGGTGAAATTGGCAAGTAAGCATTGGCTCCTCCCATGTCAGCGTCCTGAAGCAGGGGACTGATACACCCTCCCCACTTGGGCCACGTGAGTGGAAAACTACAAGGCTTGCTGGAGAGTCTCCAGCCCGAGGGCTGCAAAGGCCTTGAAAGGGGGCAGCGGATGCCTCTAACTTTAGCAAAGCCGCACTCAGCCTGGAATGGGCGTCAGAAAGAGCTCTCATTCCTACTTTCAGAGGCCTCTGGGGAGATGATTCAGTAACCCAGCTCACTGGACGGTGAGATCATCAACCCATTTTAAGGTCTTTTCCTCTGTTACGTAACAGCACATTTAAGGACATTGTGGCACACTTCATACCCCTCATGTCAGCTGTCCAGGCGTCTCGATTATTCACGCATCCATTTAAGTAATAGATGTTTTGATCACTTCATATCTGGAAGGCACTGTGCCAATGGACGAGCGGAAAGGACCCGGCTTCTAGTGGAAGTGGAGAGCTGAGAATCAGGAAATGAGCAAAAAAAAAAAAAAATCCTAAACAGCCAAGCCATTTCTTGATAATCTGAGAGACTTCACTGTGAGCATCAGTTACCCTGCGCCAAGGGAGACGTGACATTGTAGCAGTAACTGATGTCCACGGGAAGGCCCTCAAGTTACCAAGAAGTGGGTAGGACCTTAGGGATGTTCAGGTGAGGAAGGCACAGAGGTATATAAGGCAATTTGGAAAGATGCAGTATCAGAAGATTCAGACTCAAGAGGATCGAAAGGCTACCTATCAGCCACATCCCCAGAGGAACCAAGGCCCCTGACGTTTCAGTCCCATACGGAGCAGAGGAAAATGCTCATCACTGATACCTTAATCAAAAAGCAGGGATGTCTTCCAGCCCCAAACCAGAACATAGCCACTGTATATAAAGTGTAAATCTTCCTTCAAAAGTATAATTAAGTATAATCATGGGTGTACGTAGAAAATAGTTTAAGTCAACAAAATTTTGAATTAGAGGTTCTTGTTTGATAATATACAAAGGTGGAGAAGCAATAACATGTTTTTCAGGGGTTTTTAGAAATGAGTTGTATTGCACTGAGTACTTTCTATTAATGTTTAGTGTTTCCAGCAAACGGAAAACCTAATGACCTGAACATTAAAATCTCTACTGTCACTAGGACCCTAGAGTGCTAGTTCTGGGGGTTTATGCAGTTTGGGGTTCCTGTTTTCTACGGTAGACCCCTTTCCTAGGAGACCACCTTGAACAGCATGCCATGGAAACAGGGGAACACAGCAGTGAGATTCGTGCCAAATGTCCAGGCTCCGGAAAAGAAGGAAGGGGTGTTCGTGCCTACGTTACGTTAGAATACGTGCGTAATCAGTGTGATGCTCATATAGAGAAAACTTTGTCTTTCAGGAGAAAAAACCCTCACTCTTGCCCTTTTTATCTTTTTAAAGATTTTATTTATTTATTCATAAGAGACAGAGAGAGAGGCAGAAGGAGAAGCAGGCTCCCCGCGGAGCAGGGAGCCCGAGGCGGGACTCGATCCCAGGACCCTGGGATCACGACCTGAGCCGAAGGCAGACGCTTAACGACTGAGCCACCCAGGCGCCCATCACTCTTTCTCTTTTACCCTATCCAATACCCCTTATATTTTTTATACATTATTTACATATTATTTACATATATTTTACACATTATTTACATGTATTTGCCTATTATTTACATATATACATATTTTGCATATATATTTTTCAAGATGTGAACGGCTTCAGCAGTGGCTGACATAAACAGGACCCATCTGTACACACCTCCTGGGCCCTGTAAATAGGAGAAAAACCCTGTCCCTCTCCTGTCTTTTGCAGGAAGGAGGTGCTCTCCTGGCGTGGGAGGCTGGCCCCAGGGATGATGAAAACAGCCCACATGGATTATAATCAGACAAAGTCAGTGCAAGGCGGGAGTGGATTCCTTGAGAGACCTCGGCTTCCCTCTCACTATCTTTTCAATATGGAGAGGAGGTGATTTTCCTCTGCCTTGGGAGAGGAAGCCCGAGGCCCACGATGGCTGAAATTAACCCACAAAATGAAAATTCTGCTCCTGAGGGTGTGTTATTACTAGCCAGTTACTCACCCGCACTGTGTCTCATTTGCTCTCTGAAAATGGAGTTGGAACCTGCCCTCCAGGGCTGTGGGCCAGATCCAGGTAAAGCAGTGCAGAGAGAGGGAGTCCTTAGTGATTGGGGTCGTTGCTGGGGGTTGACCTTGCTGTCCCTGGACAGGTGAGGTGACAAGGTGCAGGCCAGAAGAAAGACCAAGGAGAACAGGGGCTCAGAGAATTTCAAAGCTGCTTGCGCTGCCTGCCCCCGGGGACTGTCCTCAGACCTCGCCACTATAAGTGCTTCTCATTTCACGGGCCTCTGGACATGTGTTCCAGAACGTTTATTGGAATTTAACCCAGAAAAAACAGACTTTTAAAAAAATTGAAATCCTTTCATAGCCAACTCATTTTGACTTCCTCTCCGTATAAGAGAAAACTCTAAATTTGAGACACTGTGACTTCATTTTCTTCCCTGCCTTGTTTCTCAGCACTGCAATTGTGGCCTTAAATGAATAGTTTATGTCTGTTTGTCATCGGGGATTATCGGCCAGCGATGAGCAGTGGAACTTTCTAAATGCAGGGCAATGGTAGGTCTGCAGCGCTCTGGGGAAGGAATGCAGTCAGCATCTCGATGATGAGTGGCTGTGCGCTCCACAAATCAGACTTGGGTGATTTTTAAAACTACAAAAGTAGTGCCCGTTTTCTTCCTATCCAATTAATTCGCTTTCTTTTTTTCCATTCTCTTCAAACGATGTAGTTTAAACTTCCTCTCCAATTCTGCTGTAAAACTTTTCTCCCTTAAAATTTCACTTCTGTGTTTTTCATATTCTCACCATACGAGTGAAGGTCATGTTACCTTTGTTTTGTGTTTGTTGGCCAGCTCCATTCTTCTGTCTTAACGTTTATTTTGTCCTTGCTATATCCAGGATATAATAGAAACGCTATAATAATAAAGTTGTACAACAGATAGATGAGATTCAAGATCACTTTCTGACATACCCATTGCTTCTTAGGATGCCTACAGGTTTTGTATATAGAATATAAGATAAAATAAAAAGTAATATTGAATAAGGAGCTGGGTTTATGACATTGATGTTTCAGTGTTGGATGGGCTTGTAGAAGAGAAAGAATAAACTATTGGAAGCAATTTGACTGTGTAAATTAAAAGGGAACTCCAGAGGATCATAAATTTATCTTATGTTACGCTTGACATTTCTGGTTTAATTTATTTTGTGGTTGTGCCTTTCAAAATAACGTAGGGTGCTTGGAAGAACAATTAGAGAAAGCATGTAACTTGGATGAGAATGTAGATAGGTGATTGTTTAGATGGAAACAAGTGCATTTTATACAGATTATTTATTTCCTTTCTCACGCGGTGAATCAAAGCTGCGCCAAGTGAGAGGTCAGTGCCCTCAGGAGAAAGAGTCTCGGGCCAGGAGTCCGGCTCCGTCTCCAGGGTCTGGGTTTAGATCTGGAGCAATAGAGGAGTGCAGTGGTTAGAGGTGCGGGCCCTCGCCTGTGGAAGAGAGATGAAGTAGCAGGGCGCACCTGTAGGGCTGTGTGGGTGAAGGCGCAGCTGCTCGGGCGTGCCTGGCACAGCGTGACCCTGCAGTACCCATCAGCATTGCTGTCACCGCCACATCTTCCTGATTTGTCCTTTAAACTGGTGTAGGGTTTTGCCCACACCCCTAAACTGCGCCCCCGCCCCAGGCTTTGGTTTCCTCCTCTGTACTCTACAGATTACATCACTCGACGCCCCTTCAGAGAAATGTCCGGGGGATTTTGAAAGGCTTCTGTGTATGACACTCTTCCATGTCTGGGTGGCAGGGGTGACAGAAACCCACAGCGTTACTGCATCTCTCCGGACAATACCTGCCCTGCACGAGCAGGGGAGCAGATGTGTTGCCCGCAGACCTCTGATTTGTAAAAGTATAGTCAAAGCTGTGGCACTGGGGAGTCTCTGAGAAAAAAAGAAAGATCCATTCTTCTGGGAAGTGACCTTGGGAAGTCAAGGATAATGAAAATGCCGTTGATACCGATCGCGATGCTCCGTGTGTTTGTACCTTGCTAATGATGTTAAACTATGAATCCTGTGAGATCTTGTGTTGCAGTGTGGTTTGGCCCTAGAGCCCTTGCATGCTAACCCAAAGTAGAAGACTAGCCTGTTTGCATGCAGCCGGATGCTGCCCCTGACGAGATAAGCATGTTGTGGGAGGTTGACCCAACCCACCCTCCCTCGGCTGACGCCTCCCCCAGCCCTGTGTGTGGCCTCATTCGCTGTGGTACGTGTATAATACCTTCATCATTAGTTTCACTAACCTGAATGCTCACTCTTCGATTTAGCATGCTGCTGAACGGTGCACTACATGGATTCACCTCAACCTCTATCTTTCTGATTTCTTTAGATATTAGGTTGAAAAAGCTTGTTGATGAACGGGAATGCTTATTGGAACAGGTAAATCATTTTATTACTTTATGAGTTCCCTGAGCAGCACCTGAGCCCGAGAACCTTCCCATACTTAACTTCTTGCTTTATCGGGGAAACCCTAACGCGTTATGCCTGAAAGCAATTACCAAGCCAACCGGTGTCCTTACTAGTTCTATCATCGTAAGTCACGTGAGGTTCAGAGAGGATGTCCCAAAGACTCGAGGCCATGGAACCGAATGTGGTTCGCTCTATGCCAATTGCCGCCTAAAACAAGTATTTACTTAGAAGGGGCTAGAATAACCGTGGAGGCAGGAGCTTTACTGAGTTACTCCAGACACCAGGTCTCTGACTGCTGCTGGCTCAGGGAAGTCGGTCTTGGGATCCCTCAGTGATCAGCACCTCTTTCCAGAAGGTATTTCCTTGTTGCAGCTGATCAAAGTGGTTTTACTTGTGGTTCCCCTTCGTCACGTTCTTCCACCTCCAGAAACACTAACCGGCTGTCCTGTTTGGTCTTTTTACGTGCAGGGTAGTTACCCAGTGCTTCCACAGTCACTTTTTAAGGAAACTCAATTCCTCCCAGTCTCCTTCATAAGCCTAATCAAAGATATTTTGCCATACTGCTTATAGTTCCACTGAAGGCTGCTCTCAAAATTGGGGAAAGCATTCAATGTGGTAGCCGCATTGAGGTTCCTGTGATCTTTTAAAAACACGTATCCATCCTAATTCTGTACGTATTTCCTTAGAGCAGCGTGGCATACTAGTGGGCAGTATGTGCCTGGGGCTCTGCTCTGCTTTGTGCTGGCTGTTGGGGGGCGGGGGCTTCCACAGGGTCCACAGAGGTCGGAGGTTAACAGGACAAGGGCTGGGAGACTGCCCATCAGACAATGGAACTTCCTACAGTCATGGCTGCTGACTACCAGGGAGAGCAGAGCCCTGCAGAAGCCAGCTCCCTGAGCATGGGCTCTGTGAGGGAGCACACAGCTCAGCTAGGCCCTCGAGGACACTACTTTTGGGCCTGGAAGGTTCCAGAAGGCCCTGCCCGGCTTCTAAGTGAATAACTCGAAGGTGACTAGTGCACTGACTAACTCTGAGATAAATGTTTAAAGCATGTTATGTACCATCTCCTCCTGAATTCAAGAGGAATTTCAAACTTAGAAATAACTTTTCACCCAGAGTAACAAAATAATTTCTGCCTGATTGATACGGTGAATACAATTCCATTTTCACCCATTATGCTGTTACTTCCTGAGAAGAGTACCAACTGGCCGAAGGTTGTTCATCTCTTTATTTGGATTGGTTATTAAAGGTGAGAGACTCCCTGTGGTGGCTGGTGCATTGTAACCATTTACTACATTTTTCTTGTGCTGAATTACATAACTCCTATCTCTTTGGTACCTTGGAGACCCACGAAATAACTCCACAGCAACATCTGATTGTATTTATGGGGTGTTGGTTTTTCCTCTACACACCGCTTCCTGTGTCATAGGCTCTACGCTCAACTTCCGGCCTCATTTAGAATAGAGAAATTCACATGTTTTATTGGTGGGTGTTTTCAGATTAAGAAACTCAAAGGACAGCTGGAAGAGAGACAGAAGAATGGCAAGCTAGACAACCTGCACCCTGGAAGTGATGTCTTAGAAAACGGGACAGACATGCATGTAATGGATCTGCAAAGTAAATGTCCCTCCTTGTGTACAAGTAAACCCTTTAAGTGTCCTGTGTGTATTATACTTGGGCTACAGGAGAAAAAACATCATGGCAAAGAACGCCTGGCGTTCCCCTTGGCCCCCAAAGCCCTTGAGCACAACAGTGCAAAGATGTTTCTGTGTGGGATTGAAAGGGGGTGGGCAGGTGGGCAGAGCGAGGGTGTCTGTCTGAGCCTCAGGACTAGAGCAGGTGCCCCAAAACGTGCACCAAGTTACCACCATATGATGCGCTGTGAGAAACGGCGTTTTCCATGCTGGATACCACTGCCTTGTGATCAGCTGATTGTATGGAAAAATTAGAAGGTATTTTCCATACAAGTAAACTAGAAAGAGGCTTAAAGGGAGATAAAATTACCTGCAGCCTCCCCCCCTTCCCCTCCCCCGACCACGTCTTTGTGTTCTGTGCTCCGGAGGGGCTTTCCTGCCAGGGCTTTCCTACTTGCTCAGCCTGGGCACATGGAGAGAGAGAGTGCCTTCTCCTATCTCAGCTTCAGCCCTCCCCCCACACCCCACCCCCCTGGTGGGGCCACAGGCCAGAACTTCCAGATTTGCATGCCAAGTACTCAGTAGGGGCTTGGATCCCAGGAATTATTGTTTTAACATTTTAAAAGCCCAAGAGCTTAACAAATTTTCCTTCTCTTTCAACCTTCAGGGGATGCCAACAGACAGATCAGCGACCTCAAATTTAAACTTGCAAAATCTGAGCAAGAGATAACCGCATTAGAACAAAATGTATGTGTGTGCACTTTTAAGGAATAACGGGCACTGAAAGCGATGATTAACTAACTGAGTTGTACTTGCTAGAACTCACCCTGAAAGGCTGAGCACAAAGAGGAGCAGAGATTTACAGAACCAGAAAGGGCCCTCCGTGTATCTCCTGCAGAGAGAAAGTAGGGAAGGAAAGATCACTAGGAGGATCCGGGTTGTCGTATTGGGTACTAACCCTTTATAAACGATGGCTGGTTGTGGAAAATCACTAATGTGGCTGGGCGGGGGGAGGAGGGTGGGGGGTTAAAAATGTTGTTCTTTAAAAATTATTTCTTTAGTTAAAAAGCACTTCATGTGGGGCCATCCCTCTTGCCTGGATTTTCTGCCTTTCTCTGCCAACCGGGTTTCTAGATTGGGGGTATTTATGCCTCTAGCATGTTGGGCCCATCTGGGGCAAGCTGCGTCCTCAGCCAAGGGAGAGACGAAGTCAGTAGTCTTCCCCTCTCAGTTATGGGTCCCTGTGGCTCGCGCCTTGGGAAGTTTTTGAGGAAACAGAAATGAGACTAGCATGCCTGGGACGGGATGAGTTTAGGGAGCATGCTTTTGGTCTCAGCGGACTGAAAGTCTCCGGTGGGTGTGGCTCTTCCTGTCCCGTCTCGCAGGCCTGGCCCTGGAATGCCATCCCCAAGGCTCCTTCTTTTCCTCTCTCCACTAGTTGCTGGCCTTTCCTTCTCCCCTGCTTCCTCCCCACCATGCCACCCCAGGAGAGACTGGACAGGAGCTGAGGTTCTGGCTGAACCTTTGCCCACAGCATCGTTCTGCCTCGACCTACCTTCTCCTGCAGAATGGCCCCACGTCGGGGAGAGATGGCAGCCCTGTGGGAGCCACGAGTTTAGACTAGCGTCAGGGAGGGATGCGGCCCTCACAACTGGCAGCACTAGGCTGCTCAGAACTGCTCACTTGGCTAGAACCTACACAGTAGCCCACAGGGCTAGATCATACCGGTTTGCATGGTCTGTCCTCCCATTTGATGAACCTCGCCCTTTGATCCCACATGTGATAAAGCAACTGGAGAAAGAAAACAGGCCTGTTAATTTACACATATGATGTTTCCCTTCCTTTTAGGTAATAAGGTTAGAGAGTCAAGTATCACGTTATAAATCGGCTGCTGAAAATGCCGAAAAAATAGAAGATGAACTTAAGGCCGAAAAACGGAAACTCCAAAGAGAGGTAAATTTTCTAGGCTGTTTGCAGGGAAAGAATGGGAAATGATGGTCTAGCTGGCAGCAGAGGGAGCATCTGCCCCTGCTCCCACCCGGGACTGTTCGGGGCCTGGTGCCAAGCCACCCCCCCAGGGGCGGAGCCAATGCCCCGGGGATCCTGGGGCTGAATCCCAGGTCTCCCCCAGGATGGTGGCTGTGGGGCCGCCCAGAGTCTGTCCTTCTCACCAGGGCCTTTGTAGGTGGCCTCTTCTCTCCTGGTTCTCTCAAGTTCTTTTTTGTCTTTGATTTTCCACTGCTTCACCCTGATGTGTCCTATGCAAGTTTATTGCTGTTTGTTGTGCTCAGGATGTATGGTGTTTCTTGGATCCATGAAGTCTATTTCTAAATCAAGTTGAGAAAATTTTCACCCGTGACCTCCTTAAGTATTCATCTCCCCTGGTCTCTCCACTTCCCCTCTGGGGCTCTAACCTGAGGCAGTCAGACCCTCTCCCTGCAGCCCCCGTATCTCTTAGCCACCTGTCCTTCCCTGCTCCTTACTGCTCTGCTGGTAGATCTTCCTGTTCGTCCTTTGTCTTTTTAAAGTGTATTCATTCCCGATGGTTGCTTGTTGTATGGTCGTGTACGCTTCTTTGTTAACTGTATCCTTATTTCTTTTTTTTTTCAAGATTTTATTTATTTATTTGAGAGAGAGAGACAGAGATCATGAGCAGGGGAGAGGGGTAGAGGGAGAAGCAGACTCCCTGCTGAGCAGGGAGCCCAATGCGGGGCTCGATCCCAGGACCCTGGGATCATGACCTGAGCTGAAGGCAGATGCCCAACCGACTGAGCCACCCAGGTGCCCCGAGGTACCCTTATTTCTTTAAAGATGTCATACACAGCTGTTCTGTTTTTCACATCCATCCAGGGACTGACACATGCCAGTCTTGGAGGCTCTATTCTGTTGCTGGCTCAGACGGCTTGTCCTTCATGCATTTGGTGTCTCGTGAAGTGATGCTTGACTTTGATTTGCAGGAGCACTCCAGGCCTGACTTGGGGAAATTTCCTGCAAAGAGGGTTTGCCTCTGCCTCTGCTAGTGACAGGGGGTGCAGGGAGACTAACCTGTTCCAGGACCCCAGCCACCCTCCCTGAGGGCTTTGGATCAGAAGCAGAGCCGCAGACTCTTCTGATGGTGCATGTCTCCACAACCACGGGGCTGTTGTACCCCCACCTTAAGGCACCTGCGCTCCGGCCTGCTGCCTATTGGGCCAGATGGCTCCCTGCTGGTGTGGCCTCCACTCTGACTCCCAGGCTCTGGGGGCCTGGCTCCGGGGTGTGGCCATCTTGGCCTCAGCCAGTCCCACTTTGGTTTCTGGTTGTAGAAACCTTGCTCCCGGTTGCCCACGCCTCGGGGACCAACTCCTCCAACTGGCTGGGGTTCAGCTCTTATCTGTTTGCCTCACTTGTGTTTTGTGAGACCATCAGGACCCCCAAGACCGTGCCATGTCTGGGGTCAGGTTGTTTCGGAGGAGGACGGTTGCCGAGTCGCTCCTGAGGCCAGAATCTTGTACCTTGTATCCCTTAAGGAATAGTTAAGAAAGGGCGCCTGGGGGGCTCAGTTGGTGAAGCGACTGCCTTCCGCTCAGGTCATGATCCTGGAGTCCCGGGATCGAGTCCTGCATCGGGCTCCCTGCTCAGCGGGGAGTCTGCTTCTCCCTCTGACCCTCCCCCCTCTCATGCTCTCTCTCTATCATTCTCTCTCTCTCAAATAAATAAATAAATAAATCTTTAAAAAAAAAAAAAAAGGAATAGTTAAGAAATATATGTGTGCCCGCACATAGGGATGCGTGCACTTCTGGGAGCTCGGGGGGTCCAGGCTCTGTCTTTTGCAGGAGGGAATCTTGGCAATCCTTTCATGTGGGGAGGAAGCACGTTCCTCAAAGCTGCCTTTCGTCTGTTTCCAGCTGCGCTGTGCACTGGACAAGACGGAAGAGCTTGAGGTGAGCAACGGCCACTTAGTGAAGCGTCTGGAGAAAATGAAAGCAAATAGGAGTGCGCTCTTGTCCCAGCAGTGAGCACCAGGTCTGCACAGGAACCCGGTCGGCGGATGGAGAGCGTGGTGTCGTGGGCTTGCCTCTGTTACTGTCCGGGAGTGCTGCTAGGTCCCCTGCTTCTAAGAGCGCCCGGTGAGCACTTGGCTCAGCCGCGGCCCCGGCAGCCACCAGATGCCTCTCTGACTGCGGACCCCCCCCCCACCCCGACCCGGGCTGGGGCCGCCACCCCGAACCCGCGGGTATTTAACAAGCACACCAGGCCCACGGGAGCTGCGTGTCCCACGGCGCGGCAGCCTCGCGACGCTACTGAACATGGCAATCTAGGTAAAGATTAAAATGGGACTTGAGTTTTCTTTTCACGTGTCTTGCTGAAAACTGAGGGGACGTGTTACAGTGTCGGGACTTCCTTTGGGGGCAGAATCTACAATTTGAGTGACTTCGGTAGTATCTCTTAGTCTACGCTTTTCATACACAAAACACTGTGGAACCACAAGCCATTACCAAGCAAAACTCTTTCACTAGAAACAAGGGGATGGTCTGGAAGTAAAAGTGACCTTAAGAAGACTCTTTACAGGCAACAAATGAAGCTTTTCTAAGGGATTTTTGCATCAGTTCAACCCTAAGAACACTTTTTTCCGGGGTAATTAGCCAGGAGCCCCCCTGAAAATGACAGCTTTTCCATTCGCACTATGTAACCCTTCTACTTGGACTTGAAGTTGTGAACTCCTTTTAAAGAATGTACTATTAGAACAATTAAAAAATGAAATGCTGAAAGATTTTAGCAACGTGGTTTTTCTTTCCCCACTCCTAAAGATCTCTATTCCATATTCATTGTTCTGTACATTTTGAGTCATCCCTATTTTTTTAAGTATATCAAATCAGTTTACCCTCTTTCCTTGGTTAAATATATATATATGTATATATATATATATATTCACAATGAACAAATAGTGAGTGCACTTATAAGAGTCTTAGACTATAAAGCAAACCGCGGAAGTTACACACTAAAGTCAACTACATGATCTTCAGGGGCAAAACAGAGAAAGTTTGACTACTTACTGATTTCTAGTTCCTCCTTGTGGATGTTGTGCTTCAAGCCGGCTTGGTTAAGCAGGCCAGCTTTTCAGGATATTAGCCAGACAGTATCACCCGAAAGTATACCTTATGTTGACACTTGGAGAATGCTGGTGTGAGGGACATGATATACCATTGAGACAGCGCTCCCGACATAGTGCTCGAAGTCATGAGGGTCTGTCCCCCAGCACCGTCTGGGTCCAGGATACACAAGGCGACATTTTACTGGGCACAAGAGGAGTTCATGTCTCCTGGTGCCAAGGACAGTTTATGATTCAGATCTCCTTCCTGAGCATGCCATAGATAAGATCATCCAATCCCCATCCACATGTTGGCGCCCACAGACGTGTTGTAGCTGCTGTATTCAAGACCAGTGTTTTTTAATACAGAAACCTACTCTTCCATTAATCCCATGGAAGTGCCAACTCTCCACAGCAACATGGTTTTTATATTTACCTAAGATTTGTCAAAACACATTGGTTTCAAAAGACTTCTAAGTTTGAAGTTCTACTTCAGGAGCATTAAGCGTTCTGAGTTCTTTCAAGAATGCAAGGGTCCAGTCCAACAACAGAAACTACCAGTAATTTGAGCAGGAGAAAATTAATACAGGGAGTGATCAACCCACAGGGAATTAACTACAGAGAAAAGGATGGAAGAGAACTCTAAAGAATGCCTTCGAGTTGAGGGAGAATACCCAAGAGAGGACAAATTGGGACTGAGACCTCACTAGAAGGCGTGGGGCCACCACCCACGAGGGGACAGACAAGTCACAGGGTGCCAGGGGCTGACACCGGCAGGCAGGAAACCAGGGGCCAGGACTGGGGAGCAAACTTTGCTGGAGGGTGGGCACCCCCGGGTGGCACACGTTCACACCACAGGCTGCACGTGAACAAGAAGGAAGGAACCAGGAAGGGAAGCTCCTGCTTCTTGCAGGGTCCCTCTCAGCACCGTCTTCTGACCGTAGTGGGCCAGCCGGCAAAAAGGAGAGGATTCCTTCCTTGTCCTATCCTTAAGATTTCTTCCTGGGGCGCCTGGGTGGCTCAGTCGTTAAGCGTCTGCCTTCGGCTCAGGTCATGATCCCAGGGTCCTGGGATCGAGCCCCGCATCGGGCTCCCTGCTCGGCGGGAAGCCTGCTTCTCCCTCTGCCACTCCCCCTGTTGTGTCCCCTCTCTCGCTGTCTCTCTCTCTCTCTCAAATAAATAAATAAATATAATAAAAAAGATTTCTTCCACAACATCGGCATACAAACACGTTTAACCAGCACAACCTCCCTATCTAGAGATCACAGAGAATACTAAAAGCAAATACATAGAGTGCTCAGACATGCCTGACAGATACATATTTTCACTGAAGCCCTGTAAGGTTACAAGATGAGGAGGCCAGAGCCCAAGGAGTTAACAGGCTGCAAGTCTTGCCACCACTGGTTAAGAGGAGAGGCTGCTGGGCTCGCCTGCCCCAAATGGCCTGCCCCAATCTTTAGAGAAGTAGCAAATCCATTTTACACACACTTCCAAATCCAGAGGAAGATAGAACATGATTTTTAAATTTATTTCGTAGAATATGACTTTTCCTCAGATATGGCTATAGGGAATTTGTTGCTGGCTTTTCTCATCCCTGAATTTCTCAACCACATACTGCTGACACCCTGGGCGGGATCATCCGTGGTTGCTGGATGGCTGTCCTGTGGCATCAGAGGATGTTGAACAGCATCCCTGGCCTCTGCCCACCAGATGCAGATAGGCCCAACCCCCAGCCGTGACAAACACCGGTATTTCAGACATTGCTGGCCGTAAGCGCCACCACCCCTCCGCCGCCCCCGCCGACAACCACTGCGTTCCCCTGAATTAGAAAACTGGAGAAGAAAAGAGGTGGTGGAAAACCTGAACCAAGATGCCTATTGGATGTTTCCTACAAACTGTTCTCATTTTTAGAAACAAAGTGGCATTGAGGACATTTAGGACATGGAGAAATCCATTAAAAAGATATTATAAATGGACAATATCAGTAGATAACGTAAATTAAATGCAGTTCAGAACCGCGGTGAGGTGCTATTTTCCATTGTTCATTTTTGACATCCCATTCTGATCGTCTGAAATGTAAACTAAAGAATCAAAACTTACTGTTGATATTTTTGAAATTTTAGGTTATTATTTAGCAAATACGGATTTCTGCTTTGCACAGCGCTGAGCTCACGGGAGCACCAGACGAATGCCCACCTTAAGAAGGTGGTCCTAAGGAAGAGAATGGCCGCACACGCAGATAATCACAGAAGAGGGCAGCATGGGATGGGGGTGGGGAAGCGCCAGGTGGAGACAGCCAGGTTCCAGTTTTCAGACTGGGGCATAAGCATCTGGTGTGTTTCTACAAATGGCCAGGCCAGATTTGGCACATGTGTGCACCTACCTTTCTGGTATTTATTTGCACGTGAGCTGCTGTCTATGGACCTGCCTGGTTCCCTGCACCTGTAGCCTCATCCCCACCTGGGTATGGAGATACTTGAGGATCTAGATGACCCCAGCTCTGTGGTCGGGGACCCTGCCCTGTGCCCAAGAGCCTTCCAGGACTAGGTTTCCATCCAGCTCCCGGTCTCTCAAGAACCAGGCAGTTGTCCCAAGTCCCAGCCCCACATTTGCCTCCACACTGCCTTTCCTGGCTGATGTGATCTCTTTGTATGGCCGGTTCCCAACACCCACTGCTTGCTCCTTTCCCCTCTCTATCAGAATAGCCCCCATCACCACTTGCCAGATGGCTCCTACTCTGTCCCCAGGAGCACTGAATGCTAAGTAGGCTCTGCTAGTCCTGAATGGAGTGGCACTGACCGTGGCTGGGTGTCTCCCTTTGCAATTGCCTATACCGTGGGTGGCATGTAATAACACCACAGACCTGGGGAAAGAGGCCTGAACTAGAAACATCTGAAGCCTTAGATTAATGCTCCTGTGATATAATGATTTATAAGAAATATAGACATGGCCATTCAGATGACCAAAATGTATTTCTTATATGTGTTTGGTCTTCATCCACCTTACCTGAAAGTGCTTCAGAGTCATAGGGTGAAACACGTGTCTTATTATTAATAAAGGTGACTTTGGGGCCCCATCCAAGGCCAGGGGCTGGTTGCCAGGAGGACCAATTATGTGACTAGAGGGTTGGAAATGCTGGTGCCACCCATGACCTCTAGGGAGAGGAGGGGCTGAAGGTTGAATCAGTCAATGGCCAATGACCTAGTCAATCATGACTATGTAACGAAGCCTCCATGAAAACCCAAGAGGAGGCTTTTGGGTCCTTTTTCCTTTTTGGAGATCTTCCACATTTGGAGAGCAAGAACACTTCCATGTGCCACCAACCTAGGCCCCAAGCTCCACAAGGACAGAAGTTCCTTTGTTCAGGACCTCACCCTATAGATCTCTTCATCTGGCTGTTGACTTATATCCTTTATCACATCCTTTAATAAGCTGGTAAATGACAATGGAATATTATGCAGCCATCAAAAGGAATGAGATCTTGCCATTTGCAACGACGTGGATGGAACTGGAGGGTGTTATGCTGAGTGAAATAAG